ATTACTCTTCTCTTTATACTTTGGAATTTATATTCAGGGAGCACTGTGATTTAAAAAGTCACAGCTGATAAACTGGAACTAAACCCAAGTATATTACATGCTGTTTCAGCACTCTTTCTGTATAACCTCTCAGCACCACAAATTTGTGCAAGTTTATGTCCACTAAAATATTTCCCTCATATGTAATATTCATGCATACTCAGTGTTACATGACTTCATATCTGTACTATGTAATAAGTTAACTTAGGCAATTTTCCTGTAAGTTGGACTGCTTCAAAAGCTTCTCATTATTTAGAATGATGAATAGCCATCTTATTCAGATAGTTGCATGTGTGATTCATGCCAGCGTTATTGTCTTGTCAATTCAGTCAAAGCATTAGTTGTTGAGAACTTGCTATATACAAAGAATAACGTTAAGTGTTGCAGCTAACATAATGATGAATGAATTATTATTCTTACCTTTAGCCTTATTGGGAAGGGGTCAGTATGAGGTTTATAAATAACTGTGAAGCAAAGTAGAGATAATAATATCTTTAAGAGAGATACAAAGTCTTATGAAGTTTTCATAGGAGGGTTTTACATGTTGAGGAGACCCAGAAAGCTTATGAAAGAGATGCATTTTCATATGGACAAAGCAGAACAGTAGGTTTCAACAGGTGAATATGGACAGTGAAGAGGAGGTATACAAAGAAATGGAGTAAGACAAAAGCAGGGCTGATTCAGAAAACATCAGATATTCAGTTAAGCTAAAATTAGGTATGTAGGATTTAGTTAAATATTTGTGATTGTTTGTGTGTTTTTTTAAAAGCTCTTTGGAATGGATGTACTCTTCAGTCTCCTACTACCAGCCCAACTAGAGGGCAGCTTTTCTTACTGCTGTTTGAACCAGGAAATGCTGACATACTTTATGCCTTGCTTTTAAATCAGAAGTACTCTGACAGACTAAGAGAAATCATTTTTAAGGTACAAACATTTCTTAAGCATCTTTGTATTTGGGATATTGTGAATATATGACTTTGCAGCATAACCATTCTGTGACTATACATTTTTTTCATATCTGTTTCTGATTTTAAATTGTTCAACTTATTTTATATAATATTTTCATGTTCATTTGTTTACATATTAAAAAACTAATTATATTGTAATCTGAAAATCATCTCAGTGGCGGCTGTGGCTCACGCCTGTAATCTAGCCTCTGGGAGGCCGAGCGGGTGGATCGTTGAGCTCAGAAGTTCAAGACCAGCCTGAGCAAGGCCCAGACCCCGTCTTATAAAATAAAAAAAACAAAAAAAACCGTTAATGGCCAACTGAAATGGAAAAAAAAAAAATAAAGGATAAAAAATCTCTCATGAATACTCACTTTGTCATAACACTCCAGTCCTCTTTGACTATGGTAGGCTGTGGCAATCATACATTTAATAGTTAAGCTAACCTTAGGTAGCACTTACTGTATGTCAGGTACTAAGTACTTTCATATATGAGCTTACTTAATCCTTCAACAACTTTATGAAGTAGGTATTGTTATTATTCCCATTTTACAGATGAAGAAACTGAGTCCAGAGAGATTAATAACTTGTTGACCGTATGGATGAGTTGCTTCACAAATGTTTCCTTGTCCTTGAAAATTATTTTGATAACTGTAATATAAATGGATTACTAGATTGATCCGAGCTGTCTTGACACACCTTGTTCTTCTTGTAAACTGTATAGTTTGTTTCGATCTAAGCGTTATCCTTTAGAAAAGAAAATTTTAAATTATTTTTCTTTCATTTGCCATATTTAAATTAGAATTTTAAATATATTAATTACCTAAACACTATTGCATTTCAGTCTAATTATTCTTAAATCCATTTTTAACGATAATGTGGAGTATTCTTCCTATTAGTGCTGGGTTTTTTTTTTACACTTAAGGAATATAATGATGCTCAAGAACAATGTATGGTTATATTTTATTCAGTATTAAACTAAGCAACAAACTATTCTTAGTTCTTTATATTGAGAAGAATATGTTACTTGTCTGGACCGATTATGGAACAAATGTTGAAATGCACAAACGTTTATGAACGTAGTAAACAACGTATTCGACTCAGAGAAGTTGGCTACTCAGGATGGGACTCCTTCTAATGAAGCACTTGTTAAATTTCGCTCATTAAAAACCTCACCAACCAAATCATAAATACAGGTATGACTAAGGCTAATAATAACTAATACATTTAAGAAATGTTTTTTTCCTAGAAGTTTTTTATTCCTTTCTCAGGTTGCTTTTAAAATTCTTGTTATTTGTTCAGCAGGGCTTCCTTGGATACTGTGTCTTACATACTTTTGTTGCTTTTGTCTCCTCAGAACATAGCATACTGCTTACTCAGTAAATGTTTATTGACTGAGTGATTAAATTAATAACTGAGTCTGTATAACAAGAAAGGACACTAGAGAAAATATGTACAAAGATTTTTTTTCTTTAAGAGGCTTAAATTTTTTTTTTTTTGAGACAGAGTCTCACTCTGTTGTCCTGGCTAGAGTGCCGTGGCGTCAGCCTAGCTCACAGCAACCTCTAATTCCTGGGCTCAGCGATCCTTCTGCCTCAGCCTCCCAAGTAGCTGGGACTACAGGCATGTGCCACCATGCCTGGCTAATTTTTTCTATATATTTTTAGCTGGCCAATTAATCTGTTTCTATTTTTAGTAGAGATGGAGTCTCACTCTTGCTCAGGCTGATTTCGAACTCCTGACTTTGAGCAACCCGCCCACCTCGGCCTCCCAGAGTGCTAGGATTATAGGTGTGAGCCACTGCACCCGGCTGAGGCTTAAATTTTTAAAGGCAAAATGAAAACTAATTTTAGATATTCATTTTTTCTAATTTTTAATTTTTTTTTTTCAGTACTTACTACAAATAGCAGAATTTATGCCAGATGCTGGGAGTTTTAGGGTATAAAGTTTTTTGTTTTAATAAGATAAGACATATGCATAATAGTATAAGAGGCCGGGCGCTGTGGCTCACGCCTGTAATCCTAGCTCTTGGGAGGCCGAGGCGGGCGGATTGCTCAAGGTCAGGAGTTCAAAACCAGCCTGAGCAAAGCAAGACCCGTCTCTACTATAAATAGAAAGAAATTAATTGGCCAACTGATATATATAAAAAAATTAGCCGGGCATGGTGGCGCATGCCTGTAGTCCTAGCTACCCGGGAGGCTGAGGCAGAAGGATCACTCGAGCCCAGGATTTGAGGTTGCTGTGACGAGGCTGATGCCACGCACTCACTCTAGCCTGGGCAACGAAGCGAGACTCTGTCTCAAAAAAAAAAAATATAATAATAATAGTATAAGAGCCACATAGTATGGATCGCATGTTCAGGCAATCAAAAGAAAAAGAGTACTTGGGAGTCCAAGGCGTGCGGATCTTTTGAGCTCAGGAGTTTGAGACCAGCCTGAGCAAGAGCGGAACCCCATGTCTACTAAAAAATAAGAAAGAGGACCCACACCTTTCACCTATCACAAAAACAACTCACGCTGGTAACAGACTTAAACCTAAGGTATGAACTATTAGAACTCTAGAGAAAAAGTTGGAAACACTCTCCTAGACATCGGCCTGGGCAAAGAGTTTATGAAGAATCCCAAAGCAATCACAGCAGCAACAAAAATAAATAATGGACATGATCAACTACAAAGCTTCTGCACAGCCAAAGAAATAGTCATGAAAGTAAACAGACAACCTATAGAACGGAGAAAATTTTTGCATCTATGCCGATAAAGACTGATAACTAGAATATACTTAGAAGTCACGAAAACCAGGAAGAAAAAATCAAATAACCCCATTAAAAAGTGGGCAAAGTACTTGAACAGAAACTTTTCTAAAGAAGACAGAAGAATGGACAACAAACATATGAAAAAATGCTCAACATCTCTAATCATCAGGGAAATGCAAATCAAAACCACAGTGAGATATCACTTAACCCCAGTGAGAATGGCCTTTATCAAAAAATCTCCAAACAATAAATGCTGGCATGGTTGCGGAGAGAGAGGAACACTCCTACACTGCTGTGGGACTGCAAATAGTACAACCTCTGTGTAAAGCAATATGGAGATATCTTAAAGCGATACAAGTGATTCTACATTTGATCCAGCATCCCATTGCTGGGCATCTACCCAAATGATCCAATGACATCTACAAAAAAGAAACCTGCACTCAATGTTTATAGCAGCACAGTTCATAATTGCAAGGCTGTGGAAACAGCCCAAGTGCCCATCAATCCAAGAATGGATTAATAAAATGTGGTATATGTATACCATGGAGTACTATTCAGCTCTAAGAAACAATGGTGACATAGCACATCTTATATTTTCCTGGTTAGAGCTGGAACCCAATGGAAAAACAAGCACCACATATACTCACCAGCAAATTGGTATTAACTGAACAGCACCTAAGTGGTCACATAGGTACTACAGTAATAGGGTATTGGGTAGGTGGGAGGGGGAGGGGCAGGTATATACATACATAATGATGAGATGTGCACCATCTGGGGATGTCATGATGGAGACTCAGACTTGGGGGGAGGGGGAATGGCATTTATTGAAACCTTAAAACTGTACCCCATAATATGCGAAATAAAAAAAAAAGATTATCAAAGAAAAAAAAACAAAAAAAAATAGAAAGAAATTAACTGGACAGCTAAAAATATATATATAAAAAATTAGCCAGGCATGGTGACGCATGCCTGTAGTCCCAGCTATTCAGGAGGCTGAGGCAGGATTGCTTGAGCCCAGGAGTTTGAGATAGCGGTGAGCTAGAGTGATGCCTCAGCACTCTAGCCTGGGCAACAGAGTGAGACTCTGTCTCAAAAAAACAAGAAAGAAAGAAAAGAATAATACTTATTTAGGGTTAACACAGGAGGGTGTCAAACATTCAAAACCTATTGGTGGCTCAGGCTTGTAATCCTAGCACTCTGGGAGGCCTAGGCCTGCAGATGGCTCAAGGTCAGAAGTTCGAAACCAGCCTGAGCAAGAGCGAGACCCTGTCTCTACTAAAAATAGAAAGAATTTAATTGGACAACTAAATATATATATATATATAAATTAGCCGGGCATGGTGGTGCATGCCTGTAGTCCCAGCTACTCAGGAGGCTGAGGCAGGAGGATTGCTTGAGCCCAGGAGTCTGAAGTTGCTGTGAGCTAGGCTGTTGCCACAGCACTCTAGCCCAGGCAACAGAGTAAGACTCAGTCTCAAAAAAAAAAAAGACAGATATTTTTCTATAAATTTACATATATATAATTCATATTAAAGTGAAATAGTTATTTCAGCATTTATACAAATATTACTCATGGTTCATTCTTTGGTCACCTCTGGAATTTATTTTAATTTTGTTTTTTTCCCATCATAGATCCTGTTATTAATTTCAAAGATCTATTATCTGTGGTATATATCTCTCACAGAGCGTGTATAAATGTTAGAGTGGTCATCTGCAGAAAGGTTAGTAAACCTTAAGATACATTTTTAACAATGGCTCATCATCATACTGTCAATTAGTTTTACATTGAGTGTTTTCCAGCAGATAGAGGTTTCATTTCTCTTATTTTATAGATGACATAATTTTAAGTAAGTTTCCTTTTGAAGTGAATTAACTTCATGTAATCACCAGAAATCAGCATGTGAATTTGTTGTTCTTAGCTCGTCCTGGTCTCCTGGAAATATTCCCTTTCCAGAGTCAAAATGTATTACCAGAAATAGTTATTTATTAAGAACCTTCAATGATTGTACCATTTCTAATTTATATACCATGTTTTAGATTCTGAATCTTTCAACTCTTTGGTAAAAATTTCTATGAGTATTCCAACAATTATTGACTTCAGTACACATTTAACCTTTAAGGCAAAAGATAGTTAACCTGTCCACCCATTTAGATCATGACCACCTCTCTCCTCCACTGGTAACCACTGAGTTGTCTACTGTTTAATATGCTTCCTTGCTTCTCTTTTAATTCTACCTTCTAATTATGTCACAGTACTTTTCTGTCAGTTAAAAACAAAACAAACAACAACACAAATATATATGTGTGTCTTGTATATATATATATCTTTTAATGGCTGATAGTTTTTTATTCTATGACTATTCTATAAAGTATTATCTCACCCCTTATTGATAGACATTTGGATTATTTCTTATTTTTTCATGTTGAAACTGCTGTTAAGAATATCTTTTATATATATCTTACCTATTTGTGGTAATACATATGTAGGACATGCTCTATGAAATAGAATTACTATGTCAAATGGCATTCAAAACATAATGTGATTTTGCCACACTGCCCTTTTTTTTTTGGCTCTTCTCCATTCTCCTCCTTTGCAGGCATACATTGTCCTTCAAAATAACTATACCAGTTTACATTTCCACAGTGTGCATGACAGTGACTCTTTCCGCACATGTAACCCTGAGAATTTGAAGTAGGTCATGTAAATTGATCCTTTCATTTCGGTGTGCAAAGAACACTCAGTGCAGCTTGGTTTTTATCCATTATATGTGTGTGAAATAGACGTAATTCTTATGTTATGGAAACTTGAAAGTCATGAAATCATGAAAAGTTTCTTGCCAAGCAAAGCTTAATCTGGAAGGAAAAAAAATTCGTATTCTGCACCAACAAAGTAATGGTAGCTCATCGATTGATATAACATTATTGAAGTAAGAAACTTCACATGTCATTGTGAGTCATTGCTTTCTATATCAGTATACATTAGTACTATTAATATTGAAATCCCTGCTAATGTTATTCATTTCCTGCTATCAACTTGTCAGAGTTAGAACTTCTGTTAAGAGAGATATTCAAAACCTTGAGAGCCAAAGTTCTTTTCATTTACATAGAAGTTTATTGGCTTTGTGATAAAAATGTCTTAAAGATCTTAACTGAATTTCTCAAGATTTTTAAGAACTTGTTTTTATCCAAAAATTGAAATAGTCTCAGTAGTAGATATCATACATACATATGCCCATGTCATCATTACTCTTTAATTTCAAATTCTTTTTTTTCTTCTTCTTTTTTTTTTGCTACATTCTTCACATTTGTATAATTTCAAATTCTTATTCCAGCTAAGTAGCAGCATCTCTTTTCTTGGAATGAATTTTTTGAAATTAAAGTTTCGTTTTTGTTTTGTTTGTACAACATAGCCTTACTAGACAAGATATGCTTCAGTATAGATTTACTTGAACAAAATGTTTTTCAAAGCAGCCATTAACTTTTTTGGTCAGCCTGAGCAAGAGTGAGACTCCATCTCTACTAAAAATAGAAACAGATTAATTGGCCAGCTAAAAATATATAGAAAAAATTAGCCAGGCATGGTGGCACATGCCTGTAGTCCCAGCTACTTGGGAGGCTGAGGCAGAAGGATCGCTGAGCCCAGGAATTAGAGGTTGCTGTGAGCTAGGCTGACGCCACGGCACTCTAGCCAGGACAACAGAGTGAGACTCTGTCTCAAAAAAAAAAAATTTAAGCCTCTTAAAGAAAAAAAATCTTTTGTACATATTTTCTCTAGTGTCCTTTTCTTGTTATACAGACTCAGTTATTAATTTAATCACTCAGTCAATAAACATTTACTGAGTAAGCAGTATGCTATGTTCTGAGGAGACAAAAGCAACAAAAGTATGTAAGACACAGTATCCAAGGAAAGCCCTGCTGAACAAATAACAAGTAATTTTAAAAGCAACCTGAGAAAGGAATAAAAAAACTTCTAGGAAAAAAAACATTTCTTAAATGTATTAGTTATTATTAGCCTTAGTCATACCTGTATTTATGATTTGGTTGGTGAGGTTTTTAATGAGAGAAATATTAACAAGTGCTTCATTAAGAAGGAGTCCCAATCCTGAGTAGCCAACTTCTCTGAGTCGAATACGTTGTTTACTACGTTCATAAACGTTTGTGCATTTCAACATTTGTTCCATAATCTGGTCACGACAAGTAACATATTCTTCTCAATATAAAGAACTAAGAATAGTTTGTTGCTTAGTTTAATACTGAATAAAATATAACCATACATTGTTCTTGAGCATCATTATATTCCTTAAGTGTAAAAAAAAAAAAACCCAGCACTAATAGGAAGAATACTCCACATTATCGTTAAAAAATGGATTTAAGAATAAATTAGACTGAAATGCAATAGTGTTTAGATAATTAATATATTTAAAATTCTAATTTAAATATGGCAAATGAAAGAAAAATAATTTAAAATTTTCTTTTCTAAAGGATAACGCTTAGATCGAAACAAACTATACAGTTTACAAGAAGAACAAAGGTGTGTCAAGACAGCTCTGGATCAATCTAGTAATCCATTTATATTACAGTTATCAAAATAATTTTCAAGGACAAGGAAACATTTGTGAAGCAACTCATCCATACGGTCAACAAGTTATTAATCTCTCTGGACTCAGTTTCTTCATCTGTAAAATGGGAATAATAACAATACCTACTTCATAAAGTTTGTTGGAAGGATTAAGTAAGCTCATATATGAAAAGTACTTAGTACCTGACATACAGTAAGTGCTACCTAAGGTTAGCTTAACTATTAAAATGTTATGAATTGCCACATGGACCCTACCATAAGTCAGAGGACATGAGGATGTTATGACAAAGTGAGTATTCCACTGAGATGATTTTTCAGATTACAATATAATTAGTTTTTTAATATGTAAACAAATGAAACATGAAAAATATATATAAAAATAAGTTGAACAATTTAAAATCAGAAACAGATATGAAAAAAGAATGTATAGTCACAGAATGGTTATGCTGCAAAATTCATATATTCACAAATATCCCCAAATACAAAGATGCTTAAGAAATGTTTGTACCTTAAAAATGATTTCTCTTAGTCTGTCAGAGTACTTCTGATTTAAAAGCAAGGCATAAAGTATGTCAGCATTTCCTGGTTCAAACAGCAGTAAGAAAAGCTGCCCTCTAGTTGGGCTGGTACGTAGGAGACTGAAGAGTACATCCAAAATTCCAAAGAGCTTTTAAAATTAAACAACACAAAACAATCACAAAATATTTAACTAAATCCTACATACCCTAATGTTTTAGCTTAACTGAACTATCTGATGTTTTCTGAATCAGCCCTGCTTTTTGTCTTACTCCATTTCCTTTTGTATACCTCCTCTTCACTGTCCATATTCACCTGTTGAAACCCTATCGCTCCAGAAACTCTCAATCTAGCGACTTCTACGCTTCTAAACCTTAGATCATGAAACTTAGAACACGAATATGAAATTTTAACAACTGCTTGCACAATTCTAAGGATTAGAAGTATATAACTATAATGAAAATAAAAATAAAGAATTTTACCTCTTGGCTTTCAAGTAAAGAGAAGTCATCAATAAAAGCCATATCATTTGTGATGCTGCTTTCTTTGTCAGACTGCATGGAAAATGACTTACTAGACTCTACTGGGATGGCGTACTAGGCAGGCTGTCTGGCATTTGATTTCCACTATCACTCATTTCACATGAGTCAATTCCACTGAGATCTAAACTCAAATGTGAAGTTACTATGCCAGAATTCTTCTTGATTCTCTGATTTGAAAGACAATTCTCCTACAGAGCTATCTTCTTGAAATAACAGTGTGTTTGAGTCTAAAGAGTGTCTGTCTTCCAAACTCCACTGATCTAAAGACACATTAGCTGAGGCAAGAGAGTTAGTCTTTTCCTCATCTGTTTTTCATCGAAGTTCTTCTTAAAATCTTCAGTTGATATGTTTTTATCATTGTCTTTCATTAAAGCAGCCCTACTGTGATTATGAAGAGTATTTCCATTTTCAAATTTGCTTTTAAAAAAGCCTAATTAGATGTCTTGCCAACCGACTTGTGTGATATTGTTGATGTGCTGCATCTGGCTGGGACTGCAAAATCTGTAAAATCTGCAAAGAGATTAAGAATACAAAATTCTTCAAAAAGTACACAGTACTTTATATCAAGAAGTCTCTTTTCAGTATTTTAATGACAAAGCAATTGGATGAGAAACTACAGAAGGATATACTTTCAAAAGATTATGTTCTAATTAGATTATAAACCATTTAGAGGACTGGCATTGTGTTTCCAACTAATCTGCATACTACTCATGCAGTCAGGATGTACTAAATTATTTGCTGAAAGATAAAAGGGAAAACTTTTATTTTTTCCTGTCCATTCTAGTTTATCCTAAATGACAACTAAAATGATCTTTCTATATGCCAAGACACACAGTTATTTAATTTGGTCACAGAGAACATATAAATAGAATGGTGATATATAAAATGTAATAAGCTGATATCCTTCAACTAAATACTTTCCACAAGCTTACTATATTTAGCAAATATTATTGAATGTGTACCTATGGGCCAGACACAGTTCTAGGCACTAGGGCTAGGAGATTGAATAGAACACATAATGACACTTTGATAGAAGCTGGGTATACCAAGAATAATGTTTTCCTGTCTCATCTTTTTCCCAAAAAAGTTAATGGCTGCTTTTGAAAAACATTTTGTTCAGTAAATCTATACTGAAGCATATCTTGTCTAGTAAGGCTATGTTGTACAAACAAAACAAAAACGAAACTTTAATTTCAAAAAATTCATTCCAAGAAAAGAGATGCTGCTACTTAGCTGGAATAAGAATTTGAAATTATACAAATGTGAAGAATGTAGC